TTCGAGAGCTCGATAATCGCAGCCAGAGAAAGAGAGAAACCTACGTGGTGGCGCACACTCGTCTTTTCCGCGCGATTCTTCGACGGAGGATCGAGAACGACTAGCGACGACGCGCTCGCTCGATCGTCTCGCGTACGTAGATCCCGCGCGGCGACACTTGTTGATCCCGCGGCGGCATACTTCCGCGGACAGCGGCGAGAACCACACCTTGCAAGAGACTGTACGAGAAATACAGGCCGAGTTGAAAGGCCCTCGGCCGTGAGACCGAGCTCAGGCCTGTAGCTATCCGCTGGCGGCGCGACCATTCGCGATCGATAACACCACTCGATACCCGGTACGTACCGTCGTGGAGGACGACAAGTGCGACGCCGATTCCTCGTTTTCGTGCTTGATGCTTCCCTGCGCGATCGTGACGCGGGTTTCATGGATCGTGCGCGAAATTCGACCTTTGAGAAGAACCCACTTAGTTAGAAACGCGAATTGTCACACGAGTTTGCATTCTTCGACAAGTGTTCTTCGTTCATATTGCTTTTTGATGATTAAACGGTCGACATTAAATGATGCAGTAGCAATCGATACAGTAGCAAGGTCTGCTTTTCCGACCGCATTTTCCTCCATTTTCTCCGTTTTCTGAGATCTCTCCCTTCCTGCCACTTCCCCCCGACGCTCGGACGTGCACTTATTCCATTTCGAGTACGGAAGATATGGCCGTGAGAAAATGGTCCTTGAGCCGGACGTCTCACGTTCAGGATGTCTTGTCACATCAACGCTCAATGGGTAGCTCTTCGGGCAAAATTAGAGTCGACTTTTCCTCACGGAAAATGTCGGACCAGATATCATTCTTCTCGAGTAACTGCTGACAATTAAAGGTGAAAGGCCTTTCGCGAGGGTGGTAACGAAGACCGTGCCCTTCAGTTAATATCGAGCAGACTTTATTTCGAACGAAAAGTTTATTCGTGACTTTGTGATGTAATATTTAGAACTGAGAACCCGCGAGGAGAGATGACGACCTCTTTCGATATTTCTGTCAGAAGAGAACCGGTCGGTGAATCCGCCAATTAGTGTCAATATGACCACACATAGATAATTCTTGCGTATATTTCAAGTTCTACAAAAATCGGCGAGAATTTCGCGATATTATTTGTGCCATCAGTTCTTCCCGTTCAGGTCACCCGCGTTTAAGCCGGCACTGAAATTCGCCGAGAGAGAGAGAGGGACTAACGACTCTGCCACCAAAACGGTACGACGGAACGTACCGTACATTCACCACTGGTCGCGTTCGCCACTCGTCGTTCACCTGAGTTTTATCGGCGTATTTTTGTCATTCTCTCTCGCATTCTGTCCCGCATACCGCCGGCGTCTCGTCGAATACAAGAAACGTAAATGGTATACGACGAATTAGACGCCGGGGATCGATCTCCGGGGATAGTGCTCGCTCGACTGCAAATTCGTCTTTTCTTCCGAGACCTCACAACCGTGTCCCTTAAAATTGCAGCGTTCAGGAGCCGCACGAGCATTAAGTACGATAACATTGTAGGGAATATCACGTGTGTAAATTTGCTTTTTTTCCGAATACCACACGGAAATGCTCGTGAATAAATGTGAAGAGCGTGAAACGAGCCACTTGCCACTCGAATACTCGATGAAGAGAAGACGGTGAAACGCGAAAGAACTAATAACGCTTCTGCATGAAGTATTTCTTTAATTTACAACGCGAAGACACGTGGCCCCCTCCGCCCCCACTTCCCCCCAAACTCTTTTTCATCAGCGTGACGAGATAAATCCAGGATTCAAGATGACTAAGCTCTTCTTAACGTGTATTAATTCGAGACTGGAAGATTTAAACGCGCTGGAAATATGGAAAAGAAAGAATGGAAAGGGAAAAGAAAGGATCGCGCAGCTTAATGAAAGCTTCAACGCGACTCCTTCACGCAATCGCGGGGAGAAATTGCTAATGCGAATTAACGATTAGAAAATCTGCCGGCGCACTTTGTATTGGCACGCGGTTTACTTTTACCGGACGGTGTGAATTGATAAAACCGGTTCCGCCGAGAGTCGCGCTTCGAGAAATGCGCACATTTATCCTGCTTATCAATCTGCGTTCCGCATAACGAATTACTTTATCTATCCTTTGTAAAAACAGCGTTAAATATTATAATTTTTTGCAATAACTTATCTTATCTTTTACACGGTACGGCTATTTCACTAAAAGATAACGCGGAATCTTCCGGGATGAAGAATTCATTACGTTCGTCTCAATGCTACGATTTACATTGCACTTATCAAAAGTGTAATTTTTTCCACTTTATGACGATAAACCTGTGTCTTTTTACAATGCAGCTAATGCATCGCTGAGATAAATCAACCAGCTTAATCTCGAGTTATCTTAAACACATTTTTTTATAAAGTTAAGATTGTGTAGATGTGTGTTGTAAAACAATAAGAAGTTTTGCAACAAGTAATGTTCATTCGTTTTTAAGTGTGAATTTTTAGCGATTTAAAAATAAGCTCAATGAAGACAAAAATGACGGATTTTCTGTTATGTTCGATTGTTATTTGTAATCTCGATTTTTGCGTAACAAGAAACCGATAAATAATGAGCGGAAAGGATTTTCTGAATTTACCGTTTGCTCGTCGACTTCGCAGTTTCCGTGACATTCGATAGAGGCCGGCTGTTTACGCGATTCACAACTTCGTGGTGCTTTACATCGAGTGCAATGTATAATGCACATCTGCATAAAAATAAAACTATTTTTTTTCCTTTAAATTGTAAGGATGGAATGTTTTTGCGGTAGTGCGTTTGACACAATGATTTGCAGAAATTCTTCAATTGTTCGAGTTCATAACGCCTTGATAACGGACTTATAAATAAAGACTCATAAACAATTGATTAATCTTTATTGTTAATTTAAATACCGAGGGGTAAACTCGGTAATGCTGAGCAATGCGTTTATTACATTTTTCAGCCACGATGTAATGCGCGGATTAAATAGAAAAAACAACGCGAGCTAATAAAGAATTTATCGGCAGAAGAACAAAAGAGCAATTCGCGAGTGTAATAACCATAAAACTTTTACTTGTCGGAGACAAGCTTTTTTTAAGCTTTAAGCCTGAAGCCGTAAGAAACTGACTCATTATTTTCTTTATATTTGTAATTTCTTCTTTCTTTAGTCGTTCAATTTCTTACGGTTTCAGGCTTAAAGCTTAAAAAAAGCTTAAGTTTTATAGCTTAAGTTTTCATTGTAGATCCCGCTTAGTATATTATTCCGCGTGACAAAATGGCATTTTTCATGAATATCAAAGGTAGAGTCTTGATAAACCCCGGGTGCCGAATACTTCAGCTACGTCCGTGATAATCGATACGAACTTTCTTGTTGTCCAGTCAGCCGCGCCAGAAATGACACCACTCGCGTCGCAAACGAAGAACATTCAACGCGGAAAATTGCTTCCGCGGAAGTATGAGAATGCATCTTGCAGAATTATCCTTATTTATCGGCGCGTGACGTGCGCACGTGTGCGCCCGTCTACACGTGGACGCGCGTGTACGTGTGCGCGCGCGCGCGCTTGCCTTCTCACATTATCTCGTCAGCTTTCTGTATATTTTACATCCTAAATAAAATTTTACATCGCGCACGCCTGAAAACTCCATCCTTACTGTTTACCGTGAAACCTTGTATCTATTATTAAAACCTGTTATGCGATGTTGTGCGCATACACACACACACACACACATTGAACGACATACATGCACATTGAACGACTTCACAGCGCCTAAAGTTTACGTAGGAAGACGCTTTCAAGTTGCATGACGTGTACCCGTCACTGATCCCACCATAACGCATGCGTACCGTGCAACGTAAGAGCGTACTGCCCGAGGTTGTGCAATGCCAGGATCCTAATGATAATTCATCCCGAATGAAGCGTATAGTTTGCCGCGGTTCTCCGAATGTGATTTACTTATTAATCTCAATAATATTGACGCATTGTCGACTGGCTGCTTTCAATATCGCCCAGCTCTTGTTTCGACCATTGTCCAAACACGAGATAACAATGACGGACTGATGAAACACGAGTTTTCGGCTGAGCAGTCAACAGTGTGTCAACGTCGACTATTATCGACACGAATCGACTCTCAACTTAATATCTCTATCGCGAGTGACATGAAGCGTGCATGGATTTAGCCTCACATGGATATGATTGTCCCTACGATTCTCTACCTTGTGCACCGTCGTATATGCTCCGGTGCATGTTGGATTCCTCCTAGCATTGAACGCGGTAAACTAGTTGCGTGCATGATCCCTAGGCCGCATTACTTCTTGCCCGGCTCCTTTCATGCATCAATCGGAAGTGCATCGAGAGCGCGGTTTATCGAGGTGTGTTCCCATCTGTCGATCATTCATATTGTTTGCGCCCAATAGATACTTCCTTCACAATGCAGCTGACCGACCATGACTGCGAACTTCGTATGAAGTTTCCAACGTTATCAGGCAGCGCTCCAAGCAGCAGACCGAGAGTAGCGTACGGCGCGCCGGTTAATGCGCACGCGAGCGACCGCGTGAATCACGCACCGTGTGAAGTGAGCTTAAGCCCGCAATTCGCAGTAACGTGTCGCGCTCGCCTCATGAATTCGTCAGGACGATGCGAGTAACCCATCTCGGGCTGATTTATTCATCGGACTGTTTAGAGTACTGAGGCGAGAACACGTGGACAGAAAAGTACCGCGAGACAAGTCCGAGGTATTCGCGGATGATGAGGGATTCAGGAAAGTGCGCGCTCAGCGCGCTACAGGTGCGCATGAGCGTCGAAGAGCGGTGGACCAGCGACTGGACGCTTCTCTCTTAGAGACGATACCGTGCCGATCTACGTGGTCGTTTCGCGGGGGAAATTCAACGCACCGTCGCGATTGCATCATCCGATCTCTCACGTCGAGCGAGTTCGACCCGACCTTCGGCGATTGCACAGTCATGTCGCTGTTCGCCTGTTGCGTCCGTCGGGTGAGTTGTTTGTCGACGACACGACCCGACCGCAAATGTAAGCGCGCGTACAGTCGCTTATCTCTTCCGCGACGATAATCCCTACTCGCGTGGCTTGTCTTTCCGAGTGATCTGCGCTACTGCGCGCTATCTGCGAGGTGAATTTCGAGGGAGTCGATCGGGAAATGTGCGCGCCAGCCGTCTTTCGCAGAGCCGCGCGAGCTTCGACAGGTGATTCGCGTGTGACAGACACAAAGTGATTTATCCATTTACTCGCATCTCTCCTCCAGCGAGAGAGTCCAGCTAGATTCGTTGAAGGATATACCGCGACCGAATCGAATTTCCCTCTGAGTCGAAGAAACCGGAAATCACAGTCGAGTGCGCGGCGCCGAGCAGCCATCGAATTTCTTTGAAATTTTCTCTAGTCGTCTTTCGATCAGATCATTTTCCCGAAGCACCTGTGTATTCGCGAGAAATCTCCAAGTTCAGCGGTAAGAAATACTAAATAAGAAACAAATGTTCGCGCGCGCGCGCGAAGTTTGGGACGATTAAATAATTAAATCGTACTGGTGCTTGCTGTTGAATCGATCGTTGGGTCAACTTCATTGACGCTTGTCCGTCTTCTTTTGTGCCTAAAATTACAACAGCCAACCACAAGTCGCGAACAATATCGACAGTTATTTAACAATGCAAGACAGCCTTGACGCCTTGGCTCACCCCTGTCGTTCAAGTGGCAGAATCGGTAAATAGAAAAATGAAGTAAACTGTAGGGCCGCCACGGACACCAATATACGTGCGTGAGTGTGTGGCTCGTATGTGTGTTTGTCTGCGTGGACATGTGGCGTGTATCTACGCGCGCGCCCACGAAGAGAGTGAACGTCAAGCCGCTCGCTAGGATGAACAGATACATTTTACGCTACTTAACGGATTTTATGCTCAAGTGTCAAAGCGACCGGCGTCCTTGTCGTAATCAACGGGGGTTGTATTAATAGCACGGCGATTCACTGTTTTGCAAATTTTTCTTAGAATCGATCTCGTAGCTTTTTGATCCGCCGTCGATGCGGCGCGAAGTCGTAACAGTCAGCGGCGCGTACCAATTTGCAAGTAAATCACGTCGCGAATGAATCATCGGCCAACAGCGACTCGCGACTTTCCTCCTGACTCGAGATTCCGCGCAGTGTGGTAAAAAATCTCGCCTAGCAGCAGCGGTAGTATTGAGAGGGGATAATGCATGCAAACATGCTCGTGTACATGTGCGCTCCGAACTAGAGACCCTATAACAGTCTGGCCATCAGAGGAATTCTGGCAAAAAATTATAAAATTATAAATCCTTCGAGAGAGAAAGATATATATCCTAGAAAGTCTCTAGGAAATATATATCTTTCTCTCTCGAAGAATTTATAGGGTCTCTACTTCGAACTAAGTTCAGTAGCCCTATTCTGTAACTCGTTATTGGAGTTAACGACAGTTTCGTTATCGTTGCACAGCTTTTGTATACCGTAGAAAAGCTGTGCAACGATAACGAAACTGTCGTTAACTTCAATAACGAGTTACAGAATTCTAGCACTGGACTCTTATTCTTAACCCTTTGTGTCACAAATTTTTCTATCAGACCTATTTTTTCTGTAATAGTATACTCGGTCGTTTTTGGGGTCGTTGATTACGAATCCAAAATCAGAAAACTTCAAACTTCAAAATGGCGGAGTCAATATGGCGGACCAATAATTCAAAATAATTTTTATTTTTATGTAAAGTAGTATTCGGGGCTTTCTCGGGTCGCTGATTACGAATTCGAAATCAAAATTGTAAAATTCATAATGGCGGATCCAATATGGCCGATTAATAATTTAAAAATAATTTTTTTATGAAAATGTGTATCTAGACCAATATACTAATTTTAATAAAATTAGACTTAGGATTAAATCTAGGAGGACGATGACGTGGCAAGATTTTAGTTTAGTTCATTGTTATTTTCATTATATTTTATGTATTTTTTTGTGTTTTTATGTTTGTGTTTTATATATTTTTTGTGTTTTTTATATTTTTATATATTTGTTTTTTTTATATTTTATATATTTTTAAATTTTTTTCTTATATTTATCTTATATTTTTTTTCTTATATTATAACCTTATATTTTTATATTTTTCGCTCTTCTATATTTTTTGTACTTTTTGTTTGTATTTTCATACATTTATAATTTTAGAAAAAATACTATTTATTAAAACTGACCATAAAGAACGCGTGAATGTTACTCTAAAATCAAAATATTTGCAGTTATGTCGCAAACTAAGAATGATAACTGATAAAACAATTTTTCTTTGAAGACAAACAAAGTGGCACTTTGAATTCTCTACAACTCCATGAAGTTCTTTGCTCGTTATATATGTCACTGCAATTGGCACAGCGCCTTCGCTTTCCTGTGACATTATGTTCAAGCATATGCAATGATGCAGAACGCCTCTTTTCTAGTGATACTTGAGGTTTGTGAGGACCAATAATTTTCGGTTCACTTTTCCTACCTTTCTTAGGTACTACAGTTCTACCTACCAACCCATCAACGATAGCCAATCTAAAACGTTTCAATTTCAGGTTCTCTTTGTTGCCTTGCTCAACGTAAATAACATATGCATTTGTGACAGAAATATCGACAAGGTGCCAGAAAATTCTGTGCCACCATTTCTTAGACTTTCTGTTGATTTGGTAAGTAGATTTTACCATGTCAGCTTTGTCCACATATTCTATGTGCCTGTTGTAGTTAGCGACAAGCATTGGGCAACTTACAGGCAGTAACGAACCATCTTTTTGCCTTCGATTGACGGTTGTTACTTCGCAAGAATTATGGAAGTTAGATAAAAACGAAACCTTCCATTATTATCATTTATTTATTATCCTTCCATTTTACTCATCAAAGACCTGTGAAAGAAGTGCGGTACTCACTATCACCTCTAACCATTTGCTTGTCAGATTTTTGTTGTTTTGATAGTCCAACACGATTTGGACGAACAGTTCCATAAGCGAAAATTCCGTCAGCTCTAAAAAATTCACAAGATCGACGCTTGTAAAAAAAATTGTCAAAATAAACTTCGTGAAAATTACCAACAATTTCTCGCGTGAGATCTCGCACAATTCGAACACCCAATGATTTTTTAGTACTATTATCTGTTTTCCCTGTGTAAATTTGAAATTCACAAACAATCAGTTCGGTCAGCGCGAATCCAAATTTTATAACCTCGTTTTATTGATTTAGTCGCATTGTATTGTTTCATTGTGTTCCTTCCTTTAAATTTTATCAACGATTCGTCCACAGATTGATGCTGATTTGGTTTAAAACAACTTTTAAAAGTTTGATTTAATTTTGTTACCATCGGCCTTATTTTGTATAATTTATCGTAACCAAGTTCTCCTTTTTTTCTTTTCTTTACCGTTTTCGTTTACATGCAAATGACTGAGCAAAAATCCGAATCGATTTACAGTCATAAGACTACTTATATACGGGTCATTGAGCTGCGGATTCATGGATCAGTAATCTTTATATGATGGAAGTCTTTTGACACTCATCAAGATATTGATACCTAAAAATACAAGCATCTCGCTTTTTGAAACGGATTCCAAGTTGCTCTTTTATATATATATATATATATATATATATATATATATATATATATTTGTTTAATAAAACAACCGTGCTATATGCAACTAAACTCGTTTACTTTTATGATACTGTGTGGTAATACTAAGCTGTATGATAGAACATAAACAATTATTAGCGGACATATAAGGCCGAATGCTCGTGTCGGCGTGGAGTAGAATGAAATAAACAAAGAAGTTTCAATGTGTGGAACATCAGGCAAAAGAGCGTGCATCGACGCGTTCAAAATTCAAAACTTTTGACTCCGATTCAAGCTCAACAACCTCAACAAGAAAAACAAACATATAGTAATTTTCATAAAAAGTAAAACTTGTCGATTTATTGATCCATCATATTGGATCGATCATTTTGAATTTTGCAATTCTGACTTTGGATTCGTAATCAGCGATCCAAAAAACTCCCGAGTGTACTATTAAAACAAATATATCTGAAACAAAAGTTTGTGACACAAAGAATTAATTATAATTTTTTACAACTAAACGATACTGTAAAAAAAATCTTAAAAAATTCTGAAAAATACTTTAGAGCCTTTTGAATAAGTACTTAAATCGGTGTTTTTTTATTGACAATAGTTTAGTAGAAAATGCACTTTTTCCATAAAAAGAGCAAATTTTGAACATTTTTTTTATTTATAGTAACTTTGCGAATGCAAATTTATGATCGTTCCTTTATATTTTACACTTGTTGATGTAACTGGGAACACTATAGAAACAAATACATCTGTACCTTTTATCAATAAATACGTTAAAATAATTAAAAACTAAACGGAAAAAGGTGGAACGTTGAGAGTCCCATCATGACACAAAGGATTAAAATAGTTGCGTATATGTAGGTTTTACTACGCAGGTTTAATCATACCATAAAATAGCTGCGCAATGAAAATTACATATACGCAAAAATTTCAAGAATATAGGCCCAGAGCGCACATGTACACGGGCATGTTTGTGTGCGTCATCTCTCAATGCTACCGGTGCTACTGGCGAGATTTCTGAGCGAGATTCCGCGTCACACTGGGAAATCCCGCGTCGACGTCTTCACATTTGGCCGCGACCTTGGCAGACGTCTCCGCGCTCTCACCGACGTGTCTTCGTCCTATGGAGATAAACTCGCGATTTTGTCGTCTCGCAGAATAATCGGCGAACGGACGAGATGCATCAGCAGGCGTTGATAAAAGAGCCACCGGAAATATCGTGGGAGAATAGCCTAGGCTCGCCCAGCGGCGTGCCCTTCGATGACGACACGAAGGAGCTACTGAAGAAATGCTTGGACGTTTCCATACCTCCGCCGACCAGCCTGTCGGAGTTAATCAAGCGGAGCAACGCGTTTCCTATCAAGTTCCCTATCAACACCATGAGGTTCACCGCTCTGAAAGACAGGGGGATCAACCCGGAGACCATTGAGGTTTGCGCAAATTAGCAACAATGCTTCTAGTCACGGTCCAAGCGACGGGTTAAGTTATGACTCGAGCATTCAGAGCGAGTCGAGCGAAAGTTTTTAACGTACGATCTCGTTGTCGCTCGTACGACTTCACTTACGATCATTGTGCGCATGATACTTTGGTAATGCCAACGCGAATTTCACGTCCTTGTCGACGACATTTTCCAGTTAAACGCCAACTCGGCGTACCCTCTGATACACGAGGCGATGTTACCGCTAGTCGCACGATGGCTGAAGCAGAAACGACTCTATGGCAGTTCAGTCGAGCAAGCTCTCTACAGGGACATGAGCCTCGTCCAGTTTATCCATCGCCTGCTGGAGAAGAGAGCGGTCTTTTTCTACGGCTCAAACGATCGATGGATGTTAATCGACAACAAGACTGGCGTCGACGGCTGGGAGAACGTCGGTACAGATCACGAGAAGGAGCCGTTAGTGAGTACAATAATTCTCTCACACAATCAGGTGATGCTCCATAAGCAAGTTGCGTAATAATTATCGAATTGCTCGAACTATAATAAGACGAGAATAACAAGCTCAATAAGAGACTAAAATAGGAGACAAAAATCACGAGGTTAATGAATAAATTATTGTCAAAATTTATCGTGGCAAATACGAGTTAATGTGTAAACTCTTCCACAAATATATACAGGGTGTCCCACACTCTCCTTCTCACATTAAGCGAGAATGTAGAACGGATTGAGGTGAATATAAAAATCCTATACCGTTTTGCGATATCCGCAATAATAGTCGAGATATTAATTAAGAAAGATTGGTGAATGATCACGCGCGATATAGTAGATGAGCTGCAGTGGCGTCGTCTACCGTTGTATACTTATACATTAAGTCAAATTGAACAAAAATGTCCTTTGCCATTTTGTAAGTGACTACATAGATTTTTAGATATTAATTAAAGAAAATTTGTGCATTATGGTACACAATATATGTAACATATGCGTGTAATAATTTTCTTTAATATCTAAAAATCTAAGGTAAACGTCTCAGTGGTCGAACATATATATCCCAATGATTGACATATTGGTTTTGTATTTTTCTTTGTTGAAATGTTTTTCAATATACAAAAAATATAATAAATGAAAAGAAATATTTAGTTACTTTGTGATTTTGTTTCATTTATTGATAAGCATCTTAACAAACACAAGTATATTATTAGTAATTCAATTATCGCTACACGTTCAATCACTAGGACGTTTACCTTATGTGGTCATTTGCAAAATGATAGAGAACTTTTTTGTTCAGTTTGACTTAATATATAAGTAGACAACGGCAGACAACGTCACTGCAGCTCATCTACCATATCGCGTATGATCATTCACCAATCTTTTTTCGTTGACTGTTAATTGTTGTTATATCTATACGTTCATCAAATACAATACGATTTTGTGCGATACAATTTATTCTCCTTCAAAAGTGAATTCGAGTGAATGATATTGTACTTTGAAATTGGAAGTAAAGCGGTTACGGGATATATATATATATATATATATATATATATATATATATATATATATATAT